AGCAAAGAGGCTAACTTATTCTTTGTGGAAAGTAACATTGCTGCATGTAAACATGGTTGTCCTTGGCGACCTTTGCTCTTGCATACGCCAGTAACAGGGTCACGTATGAGTTGGGCATTTCGCAAATGGTACAAGTGTAAACATTAACATTATGTAATGGTATACGGTGTACAAGGAAGAAAATTAGAAAAAAACCTCTTTTATCTGCCGCATCGGTTATAAACAACTAACAGTTTTAGTTCGAGTCACCAAAAATCCTTTTAGTTATCATCATCTAATACATCACAAGAAAAACTTTTGGGTTTTTATTCTCTTCAGCTGTTAGTGCTGGTGGGCAAGCACTTCTGTAACAAAATTTACTCACTCACACTTACTTAATACCAGTATACAAGGAAAGAAAAAGTAGAGAAAGAGCGAAAGATAGGAGACGAAACATTAGAAGAAGTGGCTGATTTTAGATATCTAGGAAGTCAGATAAGTCAGGACGGAAGGATTAGTAGGGATATAAAGCAGAGAATAGCGCAGGGTCAAGTTGCCTTCAATAAAGAGGAGTCACTTCTATGCTCGCGAACGATTAATTTAGAAATATGAAAAAGATTATTAAAGGTGTATGTTTGGAGCGTGACGCTGTATGGGTGCGAAACATGGACGGTGGGCATGGTGGAAAATAAAAGGTTAGAAGCGTTCGAAATGTGGTGTTACAGGCAAATGATGAGGATACCGTGGATAGAGAAGGTTAGAAATGAAGAGGTAATAGAAAAAATAGGACAACAGAGGACTCTATTGAAGTCAATAAAAAATAGGCGAGATAGGTTAGTAGGACACCTTCTCATGAAGGTCTAGTCAGAGTGAGTTGTTCTAGTTTTAGGGATATGCAAAGATTAGCTCAGGATAGGAAGGAGTGAAGGTGCGTGTCTGACCAGTCTTTCAGAATAATCTTTCTCGATATTGACGGCGATTCGACCCTGCGCTATCCTCTGCTTTATATCTCTACTAATCCTTCCGCCCTGACTTATTATTTGACTTCTTATATACCTAAAATCAGCCACTTCTTCTAATTTTTTGTCTCCGATCCTTATTTTTGCTCTTTACCTACTTTTCTTCCCTTGCAATATAAAAAAAAGATCCGTGTGCTCGAATATAAGAATCCACATCCATTAGAACAGTCGATATATATATACATTCAATAATAGATTTAATCCATCGGCTCCACATTAAATTCTTTATCCATTCCAGTGAACGCCTTGTCTTTACCTTCTTGCTNACTCGTAGTGGTTAAGATAACACACAGAAAAAGAAACACTTTTTAAGATTGGTGAATATCTTAATCATTTAATACAGGAACTTTTGAAAACTCATAAATAAACCCTACAACGAATAACATTGAGAAATAAATACTGTAATTTTTGGGGATGAAAGATCCACCCTCTGCCTATCTAGGTAAATTATATGTGCACAACCCACAACCCCAAAAATTACAGTATTTATTACTCAATGGTATATGTTGTAAGGTTTCTTTATGAGTTTTCAAAAGTTCCTGTATTAAATGATTTTACCAATCTACTTTTCTTAAAAAGTTCACATTTCTTTTTCCGTGTGTTATCTTAACCAATATGAGTATACGTGTGTGCTGTTATAGAAGTGCCTAATGCGATTTTGATTGTATTCCGAGCAGAATTGCGCAACTCTGTGCTCAAGAGTGATAGATACACTTCTATTGTTAGAGAAAGAAAACGTTTCTCGTGCAGCAGACAATAGTCTTTTGGATGAAGTTAATCAAGTGGAAATGTTTCCATTTTTTACAACCTTTGATGTTTACCTCGTAATAGGACTTAAGATTGGTGTTGCAAAAAATATAAACGAACAGGATAATGTAAAATTAAATTTCCCGATTTATAGCTTGTTTCGTTTCCTTCTTCTACTTCGCTCGGTTATTGGAAAAGCGCGGAATTCTTTATTTCCAACATCAATAGTAACGGACACATTTAACACAATCACTATTCATTGTTTGAAAAACAAAACAGAAATAAATGCAATTATATTATTAATTTATGTGAAAAGCCAAAGTCAGAAGTTACTTTTCTAGGTAAACAAAATAACTATTCAATTATGCGAAGAAATAATTATAAAACAACTTTTGAAAGTATTTTCTACCTAATTGGTTGCATTTTAGAATAATTTTGAAAGGAATTGTTTTCCCCAATCAATCGAAAAACTATCGGAAAACGTTAGATAATGGCCATAGGTACCTACCAAAACATTCAAATGAAACGATGTCCTTTGATGATTGCAAAATTAACATTCCAAAAAACTGTTTACTTTACAAAATTCAAACTGTCTGCCCTAAACTATTAGACATACAAAGATATCCATTAAATTTATTACGCTTGGGATACAAAATAATAAGTTTACCTATCGTAACGTAAAGCAAGACAATTTGAGTTGAGCGTACCCTTCAAAGTCTTCCTGTTAGTGTTGCCCAAACGCAAGAACAAGACGAGACTTAGCCAGTCTTGGTCTTGGTCTTGCGCCAATACACCTGGTCTTGGTCTTGGTCTTGGTCTTGCGCTCCCAGTCTTGGTCTTGGTCTTGGTCTTGCAGCAAGAGTCTTGCAAGTCTTGCAATTACCTATTAGTCTATTACTATTTATTAAAGTTTACTTTAAATCCTAGAAAAACGTATTAGAATTGGAACATTGTGAGCTTGAATGAATATAGCCATAGTAAAGATCAAGCAACAATAATATAAAGCGTGTAAAAAAATTCGAAATTATTTTGCATGAGTATACCTACACCCTATGGCGGCAATCAAATAGTGTCAAATGTTATGATTTCGGCGTGGCGGCAACGATTGTTTTAGATTTCAAAAGAAGCCGCCGGCGCGTGTATCATAACCATGTACTTCCGAAAAGCGGCAAATTTCTTTGAGAAGTAAGTACAAAACCTTTGGTGCCGCATTATCAAAGTGCCGATGGTTAAAACATAACTATGCATGCACTCAGTTTGATTTTAATAATTTTTTTATTCGCTATGTTTATGGTATTAGTCGTAATGCGCATAGGTCCAGTTTTTCATATTCTTTGATACAGTTTTTTGCGTCTCATAGAATTCCTAAGCGTACCTACCTATACACCGAACTGTTACACCTAACTACTCAGTGAAATAGCGCTAAGTCCTAGCTGCAAGACGCAAGAGTCTTGCAGGCTATGTCTTGTTCTTGCTCAAGTCTTGCACGGTCAGTCTTGGTCTTGGTCTTGCTAAAAATACGCGGTCTTGTTCTTGGTCTTGGTCTTGCAAAAACGCAAGAACAAGACCAAGACTGCAAGACCAAGACTGAATTTGGGCAACACTACTTCCTTTTGAACAACCACTAATTTGTTAGTTAACTGACACTTAGCATGGAGAGGTAGATGCATCGTTATAATAAGAGTTTCAGTATTGATTATGGTACAGTTGATGTGGTCATCATTTAAAATTGATTGACCCAATACACTCCGAGTAACATCAATCGGGAATTCCACTGCTACTTCTATTTTCATGTAGAATAGATAAATAAGTGATTCGCCGATAAAGTGGGGCAGAGTGGAAGTAGTCGTTCCTTTAAAATCGTGAATTGCTTCTGAAAATGTCTTTTCAATTTTGCATACAACTAAACAACTACTCTTTGTAGTTTTTCCTTCAATTTCGATAGCATTTTTAAAACGAGACCTCAGACAGCATTATGTAAATCAAAACATAAATGTCATAAACTTCAAAAAACGCATTTTCAATAATGTACAATAAAATGAAATGTATTTTACGAATGGCATCAAGTGCTTTATTACAGTTGAAAGGCAGGTGTTGTAAGGTGTTTACAATTTGAACGAAGCGTTTACATGTTTAGCAAGAACGAATAAATTTTTGAAGTGGCGCTAGCAAAAATGAAATTACTTATTACTTTATATTCCGTGGAAGTTGCTTCTGGGACAACATGCATTCATTACCATCCCCGTTGACAATTCAAATTAAAAGGCCGGTGCAGTTAATGAAAACAAAACAGGAGAAATGGCATTAACATTCGGAGAAAAGTCGGCAGCTATCGGCTGATACAGAGAGAGAGAGGGGAAGGATTTTAAATGAGATAAAGCCATTCCAGTCCATTTTCTTGCCTCTGTTGAGGCCAAGTGCTCGTAAATATCCTGAATTGTAGCGCATTACAGGATAGCAGCAAAATTGTTTCCTTTATACCCTCGAGAGTTCCCATTACATTTAGATATTTACTTATGTGCAGAACCTACTGCGACAAAAATAAATATCGCCTACTGTATCGAAATCTTACAAAATGGTCTTTACGAACTTAGGTATCTACTTTTTATTTTTATCATCATCATAAGGGCGTCAGTCCTGAGACTGGTTGGACACGCACCTCCACTTCTTCATAACCTGTGCTAATCTTCTCATTTCCTTAAAACTAGGACATCCTACATCATTAACCATTATATAGGTCTACTTCTTAACTCCTGTTTCTGCCTCTAATATGTCTCTGACTAGACCTTCGTGCATGAGAAGGTATCCTACCAACCCATCTGGCCTATTTCTTATTGACTTTCTCTGTTCTCCTATTCTTTCTAACACCTTTTCATTTCTAACCTTCTCTATCTAAAAACTAATGGGTGAAAACCAATTTTGTACCTTGATGTGATTTAGTGTATGTGAACATATGTACATTACTAATCATACATTTTGTTACTATGTATACAGTCGAGGTATACAATTACGGGTACAATACGATAACAAAATCATAAAACGAACGTAAAAATGCTAGATATTCCAGTGGTAACACTTTGTGTATCCTAAACTTGCAATATCAATAAAAAGCCATCAAACAACCTATCCTTGCATAACCATTGAAAAACTACTCCCATCGACGTCGCCGCAAATATCTAAAAGTAATAAAATTCAAGAAAATATAACGCGGTAGAAACACATTGCTACTTTCTAGCAACAAATTTCACCTTAGCAATGACGACCGTATGAACTTTAAGGTATAAAAATGATAACAATTGAAAACGAAACGACGCAAAACAAGAAACAATCGCATAATATCATAACCGAAAAGGTTCATTGATAAATCAACATCATAAAGCATAAAAACAAAGCAACTGCAGCGATGTTTCATCATACACATAGTAAACTTCACAATGCCCGATCGCTGCGAAAACGTCATGCCAGCTAATACGAAAGGTACCTACTAAAAATTCTAGTCACGACGTAAGTACTACAATACCTGATGATTACAGGTTGAATAGCTGAAGGAAAAGCCGTAAACTCTAGCAAAACGCAAAACCTGATCGCTGCGCAACCCTCACGAAACCTAATCGCTGCGCAATCGTCACGAAACCTAATCGCTGCGCAATCGTCACGAAACCTAATCGCTGCGCAATCGTCACGAAACCTAATCGCTGCGCAAACGTAACGAAACCTAATCGCTGGGCAAACATCACAACCCCTGATAGATGTAGTCATAATTTAAATAACATAAAACCCGCTCGTTTCGCAGTAATACTGCGCGATTAGCACAAAATCTTAGCGCTACGTAAGCTGAAAAAAATAGAAAGTAACTGTTGATTGAGAAAGAATTTCAGAAACAGTGTGTAAGTTTATCTAAAATTGTGTTTATTCTTAAACTTCAAATGAATAGCAAAAGACACATTGAAAAAGGGCAGTTGAGATGCGCGCACGTTTCGTTTGACATTACATATTCACGAAACTCTGCGCAAACATAAAGACATCGACGACGTTCGATCGAACTGATAATGCATTGAAACGACAGCTGCACTTGAAACTTAAAACGAGTTCCACTGTTCACATTAGTTCCATCTTCATCGAAACAAAAATAATTTACGAAAGTTGAAAGCTGCATTAACACTGCTTTCTGGAGTCGAACTCAAACTCTGCCATTATCGATGAAATGAGAATGTTACTTTGGACAAATTTTGAGCGCAAGATTTAACATGAATAATTTAACGGCTTGTTTAGCTTGTTGGATAAAACTGTTCCCCAGAATTTTTACTACATATACACAAGCAACATAACAAAAAAAAAAGCCCTAAACCCACGGACGAATTTGATGTGCGAATAAAAAAGTCCTTAATAAAAGCGTGACTACCACCACGATGTACTACCTAAAATAAGGAAATACAAAAATTTTCAGCTACAAATTTTCACATTTTTTAAATAAATTACTGATCAAACCAAATTACCCTTTTTTGTTTTGTGGCACCAGTAATGTTCATAGGGAGCAAATTGTGAGATAATGTATGTCGAAGGTTACTCTAAATTGTAAGTACTTGGCACTTGTAGGTACATTGGTCAAACCGGTGGACCTTTGAAATTAGAATAAACGTACATAAGCTTACATATCACTGATTAAATTAGAATAATAATTAAATGTTACAGATTTGAGATATGTTGTGTGTGAAGTACATGGACTTAGCCGTTCATATCCGTTGAACACTGGCGTACATTAATGCAAGCTTCTAAGCTGTTTTGTTCATATAAAACGTGATTAATTTCAGAAATGTAACAGCCCTTAAGGGAAATACCCGGTAGTTAACTGGACCAGTATACATACGTATCGCTGGCCAAGCTCATACTTTTTGTCACCGTTTTTACAACATTTTTTATTTCATGACAGCTAGCAGACTGTCTTACTTCCAGACCGTTACCAAACACTCATTTAGAGATTTAATTCTCTGGCTTGCCTCATCCTGCTACTATGTAAACATAACCACAACATGTAGCGTGCTGGTGCATTGCTCCCACAGTTGTACCGTTGAGAGCATTATTCTTATCACGCCGTTCTCATTTCTCTGCTAAAATAAATTTGCTCCCTGTTTCTGTATTTGTAACGCTCTCTTGATGACCCGCAGCTGTAATGCAGTCTTCTGGTCATATCAAAACGAAGAAAAAGACAAAGAAACGTCTTCAACCACTAACTCATCAAGATGTTCAACGTTTCTATAGTATGTTTCTAGTAAATGTGACTATCAAACTACGAACAAGGCAATTTATTAATCGCAAAACTTTTTATCAACAAATAATGATAATTTCATAATTACTAAAACCAACTAATTAACCACGCGACTCAAACAATAAATAATTAATAATTCATCAATTTTTTTTGCTAATCAAAATCAACAACCTATTGGTATTTTATTGTTTCATCATTAAAAACTACTTGTGTAGTAGCAAATCGCAAAGGTAGACAGACCGTTATTGCAACAACCCCATTCTTTTTTATCGCGGGGTTTATTTTGCAAGAGTAGCAAACATCTGTTCATAGAGCACTCACGTGTGCCATGTGGGAGATCCGCAAGGCAATCTGCATTACATGATCGAGTTTCTCTGGCTTTCATCCAGATATTGCCAACGTGTTAGTTCTTTGTAAATAAGGATAACTTCGATCACACACTACATACGTATAACGAGAGCTATTGTGTGAAAATATCTAGCCAATAACTAACAAATTATTAATTTATATAGTATTGTAGATTCATTCATTTTTCATCGTTTTTTTTTGCCAAGAGCAAACAGGATCATTCCCAATCGTTAACTATAACGTATATTTTTCACAAACTTACGAAGTTTCTTTTATTCTAGGTTGCATGGATACACATAGATCGTCAAATGATAGTCACGATACACAGACATGTAATTTCCAGAATTCCCCGGTTTAGTGTATCACATGATAACGCAAAAACCTGGCTACTTCATGTAAGCGACGTTCAGCAAGAAGATCGTGGTTATTACATGTGTCAAGTTAACACAAATCCGATGATAAGTCAAGTAGGATACCTTCAAGTTGTAGGTAAGCTCAACTGTTTAATTTGTTCTTCGATTATGTAATTAATTACTACTGATGATGATATCAAAACTACAATTATATTACAAAACAATTAAAATCTTGTCACGCAAAATACAGGATTCAAAGCGAGTTTGCCAGAAATTGGCTAAAATGACGAAAAATTACTCGAAGGTCAATCAAGTACCAAAACCAATATATTGGGATTCGTCAAATGAGCATACACCATCTGGTGGCAAAATTTATAACTCGAATGAGGGAAAAATTTACATACGAACTGTGCACGCAAATTGTAAAATTGTTTATTANGTTAATGTGAAAATTCATTTTCAATTTATAACCAAATATACTAACTCAAGTTAAAGAGGGAAAATTTGTTGCTGTTGTCACACCCTCGCCGCGAATCGAACCCGAGATTTTCCCTCGTTAAAAAATTGAAAATTAATTTTCACATTAACAGTCTGTAATTCAGCCTACAGGTGTTGGAAATTTGAGAATAATAAGCCTCAGATTGTACTTTGGAGATGAGGATCATGTGTTTGGTAGCAAAGGTTACAAAAATAACGATGTAGATATTATAAAAAATGGAGAAAATGTGTTCGGGTTTTCCGTTTGTCGCTGTGTACCAACGAACGCAATATTGATGCTATAAAGTGGCTTAAAAGTCTAGTTAAGATATAAAGGGAAATAACAACCACGTCGGCTACAGTTAGTATCACTTTTCTTGGTAGCCGAAATAAAAGTGACGTAGTATTTTGCGCGCCGTGGCTCTAAAATCTTCCATTTACCTCCTGCTCTTCCTCGTTTCCTCAAAATTACCCGATATAACCATATAACTGGAGAAAACAGCTTCTGGGCGATGCAGCAACTCTAGTCTATTACGAGCCATCACGCTGATTGATCAGTTGCTGCAACCAGCAAACTTAAAGTGATATTGATCATCAAAAGTTACTTATTTTGCACTTAAATTTAACAGCTGCTATCGGAAATTGTTTAAATATCGGACACTTTTTGCATACATTACCAAAGTCACAGACCAGGTACATTTATCGAACACTAAGTTCTTTATAACATTCAACGGATTCATGTTTAAGGGTTGTTAGAGACAAATTAGAAACAGAAACAGGGTTTTTTGCTTAGTCTAGCGTTCTAGAAATGAAAGGATTGATTGAAGATAGGTGCATGACCTTTTAAAGACAGATTTGATGATGTTACTCTAAGTATATAAAAGCAAAAAGTCACTCATGCACTCTCCGAGTAAAACCTAGGTAGGAGACGTTATCCGTTAGCCCCAAATTTGGTCAGACTCAGCCACCAATGAAAAAAATAAAGTACTTGTTTATATTAGCATAGGTACTGTAAAATAAAATATTTATTAGTTTCAATTCTTCCTAGAAAGTTTAGTTGTAAATTTAAACGAACGCGTTACACCAAAATTGCTAACAGACTTTCGCTCAATTTTTTTGCAATTTGCATTGACGTACCAATTAAGCCACCTGGGCCGTTAGAGTGACGGCCTGTCGGCGACAAGAAATGGCATCGCACCGATTAAACATTGCACTGTTTTCAGGCAAGTTAAATTAAAAAGCAATATCGAGACCTAACATAACGCTCGCGTTATTGATGATAGGGCGATTTATCTTTTGTTATTTGGCACTTGCATATTTCGTTATTTGGCCGGACAAAATGTTTATTAAGTTGACCGATATTATAACACGTTATTTTGTTACAGCAATGACAGACGAGCCCAGATTCGCTGAACCCATACCGAACGTAACCGTCGCTCTTGGACGAGATGCCAGTCTACCATGTGTTGTAGAAAATTTAGGAGATTACAAGGTCAGCAAGCAAATCAATACTTTATATCAATTAAACTTAAATTATTCGTAAAATTCGGAAAATGTAAAAATCCCATTAATTAAAATAATCAATTCACGGAAATAATCCATTGTGTAGATAATCTGAAACAATCGACGGAGAGAACTAGGGGAGACCTTAAAAAAATTATTTTACTCAGAATTAATGTTATTTTGCAAGCTATTTGATAAATTATAATATTTATATATAGATAATAGCTATCACTTTTGAGCATTTCTATAACAGCACAGACGTACACTCGTAGTGGTTAAGATAACACACAGAAAAAGAAACACTTTTTAAGATTGGTGAATATCTTAATCATTTAATACAGGAACTTTTGAAAACTCATAAATAAACCCTACAACGAATAACATTGAGAAATAAATACTGTAATTTTTGGGGATGAAAGATCCACCCTCTGCCTATCTAGGTAAATTATATGTGCACAACCCACAACCCCAAAAATTACAGTATTTATTACTCAATGGTATATGTTGTAAGGTTTCTTTATGAGTTTTCAAAAGTTCCTGTATTAAATGATTTTACCAATCTACTTTTCTTAAAAAGTTCACATTTCTTTTTCTGTGTGTTATCTTAACCAATATGAGTATACGTGTGTGCTGTTATAGAAGTGCCTAATGCGATTTTGATTGTATTCCGAGCAGAATTGCGCAACTCTGTGCTCAAGAGTGATAGATACACTTCTATTGTTAGAGAAAGAAAACGTTTCTCGTGCAGCAGACAATAGTCTTTTGGATGAAGTTAATCAAGTGGAAATGTTTCCATTTTTTACAACCTTTGATGTTTACCTCGTAATAGGACTTAAGATTGGTGTTGCAAAAAATATAAACGAACAGGATAATGTAAAATTAAATTTCCCGATTTATAGCTTGTTTCGTTTCCTTCTTCTACTTCGCTCGGTTATTGGAAAAGCGCGGAATTCTTTATTTCCAACATCAATAGTAACGGACACATTTAACACAATCACTATTCATTGTTTGAAAAACAAAACAGAAATAAATGCAATTATATTATTAATTTATGTGAAAAGCCAAAGTCAGAAGTTACTTTTCTAGGTAAACAAAATAACTATTCAGTATCACTTTTCTTGGTAGCCGAAATAAAAGTGACGTAGTATTTTGCGCGCCGTGGCTCTAAAATCTTCCATTTACCTCCTGCTCTTCCTCGTTTCCCCAAAATTACCCGATATAACCATATAACTGGAGAAAACAGCTTCTGGGCGATGCAGCAACTCTAGTCTATTACGAGCCATCACGCTGATTGATCAGTTGCTGCAACCAGCAAACTTAAAGTGATATTGATCATCAAAAGTTACTTATTTTGCACTTAAATTTAACAGCTGCTATCGGAAATTGTTTAAATATCGGACACTTTTTGCATACATTACCAAAGTCACAGACCAGGTACATTTATCGAACACTAAGTTCTTTATAACATTCAACGGATTCATGTTTAAGGGTTGTTAGAGACAAATTAGAAACAGAAACAGGGTTTTTTGCTTAGTCTAGCGTTCTAGAAATGAAAGGATTGATTGAAGATAGGTGCATGACCTTTTAAAGACAGATTTGATGATGTTACTCTAAGTATATAAAAGCAAAAAGTCACTCATGCACTCTCCGAGTAAAACCTAGGTAGGAGACGTTATCCGTTAGCCCCAAATTTGGTCAGACTCAGCCAC